GGCCGTAGTGTCTCTTCCAGACAAATAATTTCCCCACAAATTCGCGGTAAGTCATTCGCGGGAGATGCATGGGTTTTTACGTTTTTACATGTTGTAACGGTGTTGCCGAATGTCCCTCACTCTGGAAAAATACAATGGAGATGTTGCATGTGTGAGGAATTTGCTATTTGACTGTTGATTCACATGTAAAAGTTCGCGAGAAACACGGTTGTGCTACTGGTTTTTTCTAAAATCAACTCCCAAGCTCAAAAAAAGCTCTCAAGTTGAGGCCAAAATGGAGGGAATATCCCACCCTACCCTGAGATAGTCTACCTCTACATCAAGACAAACTCTCCATGCAAAGATAGGGAGAAAAAACATTGACGGCAACCCTATCAATGTTTTTTCTCCCTATCTTTGCATGGAGAGTTTGTCATGATTGTAGAGGTGGACTCTCAGGATAGCGTGGGATATCCCCTCCATTTTGGCCTCAACTTGAGAGCTTTTTTTGAGCTCTTGTCGATGTTTTTAAGACTCTGGACTCTAGATCCAATGTGTTTTTTTTCCAGTGTTTAAGCCCGTGGAAAAATATCGATAAACAGGGTGTTCGCAACTAACGCCTTAATAATCGATTCTTTACCAGTGCGGTATAAATGGGAAAATATCGATAATCGAACATTTACGCCACGCCGCTGGTTCATAACATGCTTCACATCGCTGAAATTTAGGAAATTCGGCAACATACCAATGGAGCAGTGTAAATAGGTAAATTCGCGGAGCTGCCAAAGAAACTAATCTCGATTAGAACGCTCGCATTGGGCGTTGCGCGTTTGAGGTTTGGCGGAGCGATGCTGGTTGCATAATCTATTCTACGTAGGCACTCGTAAATCATCGGCGAGAAAAAATTGGATGGTTTCCTCTTTTATTCGGCTCCCTCGTCGCTGCGCCATGACACCGCGATAAATTGGAATCGCGGCCCACCCTGTTGTCGCTCTGCCGCCGATGACGTCACAGAGTTCTGGGGGACCAATCGCGAGCAGAGGCGCACATGATCAAAAAGGCATGAAAGCGACTCCTAACGAAACTAGCAGCACCAATGAATTTGACGGTTGGCAAACTTCAACTCAAATTCGCAAGATATCGTTTTCCAGAGTACCTGTATACGGGAGAGTGTTGTCATCTCAATCCTTGTACTACAGAAAAAGTGTTCCGCTCTCTGATTGGTCGGTTATTATGGAGCGCTAAAGTTGGCCCAATGTGAATAAACCCCAGCCCCTCCGCTCCTAGTTTGGTCCAATGTAAACAAACAAGACGGCGATAAAGTTCTACAAAGTTCTAGACGTGATTTTGGATGTGATAGACATTTTTGTAGGTCCAACTTCTGAATTGAGTTCGGATCGAACTTTGATGGATATTTTTGCCGAAAATCAACCTTTGAGGGTGATTATCATTCATTTCTCAGTCGATAAAACGTGTTCCTCTAGGTCGGGTTTTTTACGTTTTTTCTGTTCGGGCCAACTTTGGAGGTCCATAATAGCCTAAAACTGATGAACCAATCAGAGAGCGGCACATAGATGGCACACTGAAAAAAAAAACTCCGGCCGTGGAAGCAGAAATTACGGGCTATATAGAGGTACCGTCCGTTTCGGGCTCAAAGGCCGGAAATTCCGGCTGCTGGAGCCGTAACTTCGATTGCTCCGGGTTCAGAGGCCAAAGCTACGGCTCCAGCAGCCGGAATTTTTGGCCTTTGAGCCCGGAACGGACGGTATCTCTATATAGCCCGTAATTGCGGCTCCCACGGCCGGAGTTTTTTTTTCAGTGCAATATACCCTTCCGTATATATAGATACTCTATCGTTTGAAGGACTTCATAAACTATAAATTTACGGTTTTAGAATTGGCAACAAAGAACCCGGGATCTGGGAAGTGGTGAGCCGCACGGTCTGAGAACCAATTTATTTGTCTTGCATACACGTTGCCGACCATGATTTGTGTCAGGCGAGAACAGGCGTGGATTCCGTTTGAATTGCAAAATTCCCACCCCCGATGCTATTTTCTTGCGGGCGCTATGATCTATGACTGACTTTCGGGGCCCATGAACGCCCTCTCCACTTACGGAGGGTTTAAACGATACCTTAACCTCATCTGCTTTGTTACCGAAGAGAGCAGCAACTGCAGAATTGAAATTTAAGAAAATATACCATGTAGCACCCGAACGAACACTGGAAAAAAAACACATTGGATCTAGAGTCCAGACTCTTAAAAACATCGACAAGAAAAAGTACTCTTGATTCAATCAGAATCTAGCTTAAATCAAGAACCAAGCCTCTTAGTTTAAGCGGATTTCGTACTGATTCAAGCAAAAATCCGATTGAATCAAGAGTATTTTTCATGTCAATATTTTCAAGAGTCTGGACTCTAGATCCAATTTGTTTTTTTTCCAGCGAACATTTTTACAGAACGAATTCTCAGTTCGTAGAAAAATTGTCCATCATCATCCAAAATACTCTCAGAAACAGTGGCGTGGCGTGATATGCGATATATCTATTGATCTGCCATTTAAACGTAGGGATTAGGATCGATGAAAAGGGTATTCGCAGCGAACACCTTAATAATCGATTCTTTACCAGGGATTCAAATGGGGAAATATCGATAGTCGATCATTTACGCCACGCCACTGCTGAGAAACATCGACGGTGAAACTACCAGACCACGAATCTCGTTTGCAAAACAATTGTTTTCGTTTGTAATTGCGAATCTAGGTTGAATTAGCTAATTATTTTGTATTTTATTATTTGTATAAATTTGAAGATGTAATAATGTAGTTCGCTTGGCTTCTCGCTTTTTTGTGTTTGTATCTTTGTTGTCCGTGTGCTTTGATTGCTGTAGATAATTGTAGTTAATTAGTTAACATATTTTAAGACATTCAGCGTCACAGGCTATTAACGTCTTTACAGAGAATTTTGAAAATGGGAGTATATGCGAAAATTTAGATTTATAAATTAAGAGAGGTGAAGAGTTTCAGAATTTTGGTAGTAACATTGGGTTCATCGCATGTAAGTGGGTTTGTATTTCTGTTGATTGTAGGGGAGTAGATCTGTGATTGGAGATATCTGAGGGCAGAGCAGTCCATAATTACGTGTTTGACGGTTGTGTGGTAAAAATTTGTGTGTAAATATATACTTGTAGTGTGTTCCCTCTGATTATGGCGCAAGTCTGAAAGGCCTCTGGGATGAAATAAATAATGAAAAATTCGCACCGTAATGGTCAGAAATTCAATTCTTTTCATTACTTTCAATTTTATTTTTATATTTGCTGCTTCTGCAAACATGTTTAAATAATTTCAATTTAGTTAAATTAAATGTCAATTATTTTCCTATCTTGGTTGATATACAAATTCCGTCGACGCCGCGCTCAAATTTTTACGCCCCTCCTATGAGGGTGTCTCGGCTGTTCAAACGACATGCACCACACCTTCTATCCGAAAGGAATTTATTGACCACTTGTAGTTAACAAAGCGATCACCATAAAACTCGAAACGATAAAAAGAGGTTCAAACGTTTAGTGCTCCGTAAAACTGAACGTGCAAAGTTCGCTCGCATTCTGCACTCGGAGTTGGCGTGTCGGGCTCTCTGTCATGCTAAGGTAAAACGCCGTATGTACCTTCAGGCGTTGTCAAATTTCCTTTGATAAAACACGAATTTCCTGGTAAACTTGCGGATATTTTCCTTTCAATTTTTCAGATAATTTTGTTCGCGATTTCATCTGAAGTTCCTGAGAATTTCAAGGAAAAATATTCACAAATTTCTAGAAAATAAACATTTTATCAAAGGAAATTTGGCAATTCTCGAATGTTCTTACGGCGTTCTTCCTTAGAACGGCAGCTCTCGCCTCGACAGTTGGTCAAATTCTCACTAGAAATGCACGGTTCATTCACAAAGTAGAGGGAGCAATCGTGGAATCATCGTTTAAATGTGTGTTTGCTTCGGTGTGTCTTTTATTTCTCACGCTCCTCCTATTCTCGGTGATGGAATTTCAACTGGACTACATTTTGCAATTCGGAACTACAATTCCTGGCTTGTCCATAAAACTCCTATGTGCATGCAGAAACTAATGGTACATACGTTGTTTTTAAACCGAGCCGGAAATTGTAGTTCCGAATTGCAAAATGAAGTCCAACTCTACAATATCGTCACTCCTCTGAAGTAAGGACGAATCCTAATTTCCACGTGAGCCCTGCTCTCTGTATAAATCTATGCTTGCCAAAGTTCATGCAGGAGTGAAGATACGCTCTTACTTCAGAGCCTTGCGCCATTAGTCGTCGTTCCCTGTACGAAAGACCGCAAGCAAATTTTAATCAGTGAGTTCGAAAACACACCAACTCGGTTTTTTTCGATTTTCACTTTTTTACAGTTTAGTAACACTTATGGATAGAGGCATCTGCACGCAAAAGGAAATTTCGAAATTGCAATCGGAAGTGCTCAAAACAGCGACGGGGAAAGGGAAAAATCGAAGTATTACATTGGAAATACCCATTTCTGGCCATTTCAAGGGAAACGGTTGATTTTGCGGTTTTCTTTTTTCGGTCAGTATACCTCGTACCAACAAGTTATATAAATATTTAAGCGTTATCGAGGTCGAAAAATATAAATTTTTCAGGGCAAACTATGAAAAATCAGTATCTGAAAGTCGGCGAGAACGAAAACACACCAACTCGGAAATTTTCAAACGCTTAATTCTCTGTCATCAAACATGGTGTATCGATTTCAACTTGGTGCTTTACAAAGTCTCTAAGTACTTGTCCTTTGGCACCAAAAAGGTTTTTCTTAAACTAACTTCTTCGCCCGCTGCACAGTCTTAGGTGTTTCCTGAACAATTTTTTTTTCCAAGTTGGTGTCTTTCCGAACTCACTGATTCAATTTTTTCCGCTATTCGCATGATTTTGATCCCCCACATCTGGACTAATAGTCGATAATTGACGCCTTATAGATAGATAGATAGATAGAGAAAGGAAGGACTCACCGAATACTTCTTGTAATGCTTCCGGAATGGTGAATCCGGATGAACTCGTTGCTGGTGGTAGCGATGTGGAAGTAAGATTGCTTCTCGTTTACGAAGAACGTGTCTGGCACCCAAATGTTTTTTATAAACTCCGACCCGACGGACAGCGTTTCGACCCCAGGTCTCTTCTGGAACGCTAACCGTGGATCCGTCCAGAATTGACGAAAATAAAAATCTAAGGTGAAGTCCTGCAAAGGAAAAAACAAAGCAAACGTCAGACGAGACCGGAATGTTGACGAGTTTAAAGTTCCTTGAGCTTAGGAAAAGTCTCCAAATGAGTTACACACTCGAAAAATATCCCGTTTAGCCGAGTAGAGGGCCCATTCAATAATTCGTAGTTCAGAACAATACCATTCGAAAACATTTTTAGGCAATGCACTGGAAAAAAAACACATTGGATCTAGAGTCCAGACTCTTAAAACATCGACAAGAAAAATACTCTTGATTCAATCAGATTAAAGCTTAAATCAAGAATCAAGCCTCTTAATTTGAGCGGATTTCCTTTTGATTTAAGCTTAAATCTGATTGAATCAAAGAAACCTTTTTCTTTTCAATGTTTTCAAGAGTCTGGACTCTAGATACAATGTTTTTTTTCCAGTGTGCATTTACAAAATTATTCAATTCGAGAACTCGAATTTTTATGCTAGACGAATCATTGAATGAGTACTCCAATCGAAATAAACGAGAGTTGTGAGTAAAGAGTGCTACTGGAAAGCAATGGTCATAATTTTTGTATCAGCAGAGAGCTCTTCTAAGTAAAAACTGAATTTTTAAATCAGCTCCAGATGAGCAAGAGTACTGACCTATTCTAACCTAAGTTTTTGTTTTCATTTTTTTAAATTAAGGTCTATCTTACTGGTAGAATGTCTCTTAAAAAATGCTTCAGTATATTTTTTCTGATGTTTTCTAGTCATATATACACATATTATACTTACTAACGCCGACTCTTCTGTGAGACTACTTAAAATCAACTACATTTTGCAATGAGGCTGGCTATATTTCTCGCTCATTTTAGAAAAAAACAATAGGTTATCAATTGACCTACGTAGATAGGTAGCGTTTTGGATGAGTCAGATAAAACACTTTTCAATTGCAATATACAATCCAAAAATTAATTATAATAATTTAGCACGCGAATAAAAAGGAAATATTGAGAATACAATGGATTAGATCACATCCATTCGTGAACAAGTGTACAGGGAAATTCTCATTATCGATACGTCTTATCGAAAAGATTTAGGTGCACGTATAGTTCCAAAAGGCGAAAGAAACAAAATCATCCACGACCAATGAACAAACCACGGAGTTGAAGCGAATATTTTTATTCGAAGAGTTGAAAGGTGCAACTGGAACCATGATATGAATTAACACAGCGATGACGTCTGATATCGTTTGAAGGGCCCTTCCTCATGAACAGATTATCCTCAAAAATTAGATCATACATATATGTATGGACGAAAGTATATAAGTCTTGCATCTATTTGGAGCCGTAAATGAGCTCGAATTGTGGGGCAGTGACAATACCCCCGTTGACAGCACTGATTTTTGTCGATCAGAGTACGCTTTTCAAAATCGACGTCTTTGGCCCCTTGAGGTCATGATCTAGAACTAGTTTTTAAGCCTAGAAGGTTTATTTTTAGAAAAAACGACTTTTGTGGTCCGAATAACTATGTGCTAAAGCCCAGGGTCAAAGTTGTAAAAAAAAAATATTACAACTCGGTAAGATGCCAACATTTTTTCAACTTCAACCACTCAGTATATTTTACGTTACATCTGACGAAACACATAAAATAGCAATTAAATAGCGTCTACCGTTCGAAAGTTATGAGCAAACAACAATTCTGACTGTGACCCCCTATTCCCCTTATCCCCTGGGCTTTGGACAAAAAACCGACCATTTTAGGCTCTTCCGATAACCTCGTGTCATCTCTGAAAACATTGCACGAAATTCTCGGGGGGGGGGGGGGGCAAAGATGCCGCATTCGAACAAAGTCCTTTACAATGCGATAAAATGAACATCAAAATTTGCAGATACAATCTAAATTTTATGTCCGACCTCCTTCATTGTCTCGTTCCATTGTGCGATGGATTAAAAGGACTAGGCGCGTTTCGGGTCTCGAGAGCTTTCGGCGAGCCGAAGAACCACACGCTCATTTCGAGGAACAATGCCCCCACACCGTGTGAAACACGCCCACAGATAAAGGGAGACCCTCTGTTTCTGCGGGACGGTATCGGCCCTCAGCCCTCGCCGCACAGTGGATCGAGTCAATAGAGAATTTGCAGGTGTCTGAAATTTTGTGAATTTCATCTTTAAAATGATGCTACTGGGAAAACTGAGCGCAAGAATATCGTCGGTTTCTAAATTGGACAATTATTGGAGAAAATATGATCAAACACCCTAATCTGCTAAAATCCATGTGTTTAAATGGGAAATGCCGTCAAATGACGTCACAAGGCAGCAAATTTTCTCACTTGGACGTATTTCTATCAAACGGAACTAAGCGCCATAGGGGGAGGAAGGGAGAGGGGGGCTTGGATTGGCGGGTGTTGCGGAACGCGATGCTCGTTCCATCCTATACTCTCAATGCTTTTCCATGGCGCTTAGTTCCGTTTGACAGAACGCGCTATGCGGGATTCTAAAATCTTCAAAAGAAACTCAAATTGGCGCTTAGTCCCGTTTGACAGAAATACGTCCTCTTATAAATCATTTTTTCTCAAATTTCTCATGTCAGAAAATTTTTTTGAAAAATACTGCAAACTCAGCTCGTTAAAAACTCTCAGATGAAGCAACACAATTTGTGTGTGCAAATTCTGCATTAGAGAGGTCGGACTTGAAATTTTCTATTACAACTGCAACTTTTGATGTTTATATCGTCACATTTTAAATATCGAGGGGTGCTTCCGGAAGGAAAATTCCACGAGAAAACCAATGAAACCAATTTTAGAACCTCAAAATCTTGTTGAAACGAAGTTAAAAGGGTTTAAAGTTTCCAAATTTTGTCCGACCACTCCTATTGACTCGGTCCACGGTGCGACGCGACAAAAGAACTCAACCCATCGCGATGTCGGGGGTGGAGGAAAGGGGTGCTTTCTTTCGAACTCGGCGCAGGGCTGATGAGTTGATTTTTATTTCCCGCTCAACGCTAACCCAGCCGTGAAATTAGATATTCCGCACCGAACTGTAATTTCTCCGAAGGAAAGCTCCTCCGTTTTGTTTCTCACCGAGTGACGCGCTCTCAGAAGCTTCCGCCCCGCAAGGGACTCGATATATCGATTGATCTGTCAACGGAGATGTTGCATGTGTGAGGAATTTGCGATTTGAATGTTGATTCTTATGTAAAAGTTCGCGAGAAACACGATGGTGCCACTGGTTTTCCCTGAAATCAACTCCCAAGCTCAAAAAAAGCTCTCAAATTAAATCCAAAATGGAGGGGACATCCCACGCTGTCCTGAGAGTCCACCTCTACATCAAGATAAACTTTCCTTGCAAAGATGGGGAGCAAATACATTGACAGGGCTGCCACTTTACTTGGGGACTCCAAAACTGAAAACACGGCATCACTCCTATTGTATTTGCTCCCTCTCTTTGCATGGAGAGTTTGTTTTGATGTAGAGGTGGACTCTCAGAATAGCGTGGGATATCCTCTCCATTTTGGCCTCAACTTGAGAGCTTTTTTTGAGCTTGGGAGTTGATTTCAGAGAAAACCAGTGGCACCATCGTGTTTCTCGCGAACTTTTACATAAGTGTCAAAAGTCAAATTGCAAATTCCTCACACATGCAAAATCTCCATCAAACCTATGGAAGAGGGATCGATAAACAGGATTTTCGCAATTAATACCATAACACTCGATTCTTTACCACAGCTTCAAATGGATGAATATCGATCACGTCTCGCCACCGGTGTCTCTTTTTGATCACCCCTTTCGGTCTGTTTGATCTTAGCGACAATGAAATCAATCATTTTTTATCACGTGAAGTGGGTCTCTGGACTCTGAAGTTGACCATCACGATGCCTTTCCAATATCTCGCACTCAAGTGCTGAGGTTCGAAAAGTAAGTGAATGTTTATCTCTAACTTTCATTTCTGGCGCTCAAGTCTGTCAGCGGGCTGATTGTTGGAATGGATAGACAAAGCTCTAGACAAAGAAGACAAAAGGGATATGGAGGAATGCTTTCGGTAGAAGTGGGTTGCACTGGACAAAGAAGGTAGAAAATAGACTAACTAACGGCAACCCACGAGAGACCTTATAGTTGGATTACATTTTGCAAAAAGGAATTAGGAGCATTGCAATGTTGCTGAGATTATGCAGCTTCTTTTGTCTTGGATGAAAACCTGATAATCTATAAACAATTCCTATTTACTCGCTAAAAACTGTAAATTTAGGACAAAAATTTCCTCGTAAATTCCACATTTTTTCAGGATTTCAATAGTTATAGTGCAATGGATGAAGTTGCAAAATCTTAGCAACATTGCAATGCTCGTGGTTCCTTTTTGCAAAATGCAATCCAGTTAGTCCATCAGTTTCTCCCTTAGTCTATAGAAACCAACAATTTTAAGGAATAGGATCGCTCCATATTTTCTGTCTTCTTTGTCTATCATTTCGTCTATCAATTACAACAATCAGCCTGCTGAAAATGATCAATTCACGCACTTGATTCTGTAATTGAAAAATCCACCTCGGTGGCTGTACCTCCAAGTGGCAAGGCGTGAAGATCGATAATCGATATTTCTCCATTTGAAGCTGTGGTAAGGAATCGATGAATAAGGTTTTCGTTGAGAACATTCTATTTATCGATCCTTTTCCATTAGTTTAAATGGTGGATCAATCAATGTATCGCAAAGAGCGCCAGACACATTATTCCAACGAGGAAGTTTCAGACCGGCCTTGTCTGGTGGCCGACGCTCACCGGACCGCGACGATGACGGAATGGCTAATTAGGGCTCCGAAGACCATCGTGACGTCACCCGCAAAGAGTGACGAGCTGTGACGTCACGGGGATACGAGCCTGACACCGCTCATAAATCTAAAAGATTGATTATCACCGGACCCCGTGCCTTTGCCGCACTGGCGCGGAAATGAGATATTTTTCTTTGCGCTCCACGGGATACACTTTTGTGCGATGAAACGAGAGAATTACGGCAAATAATCAGATTTATCCAAATGTCGAGTTTTAATGTTCAGTGTTA